TCTCAAGGTATCTAGATTTTCCCCAATGTTATCTTGTAAAAGTTTTATAATTTTGTTTTATATTTGGAATATGATTCATTTTGAGTGAATTGTTGTGAAGTGCAGAAGGTGTACATCAAGATTTATTACTTTGAATACGTATGAAAAGAGGATCTTCTCTCTATTGTAGTGTCTTTGTTCCTTTGTCATGGGTTCAGGACAAACTCAAGGATTTTACTGGAGGACAATATTTACGTGGATCGATTTCTGACTCCCTATGATCATGTCATTGATTAAAAGTCTGGAGATCAGCTATGTCCTCTCTGTTTTTCCCTGCTGTATGTCCATTCTGAGGGACAGATGGGAAAGTCTCCAGCTATGATAATGGATCAAGTTATTTCTATTTGTAGCACTCCCAGGTTTTTCTTCAAATGGTTTGGTTCCTCTGCTGCTAGATGCAAATACATTGCAGATTATTATGTTTCCTTTGAGAATTGACCCTTTTATCTTTATGTAACATCCTTTTTCACCCCAATAGCTTCCCTTTCTTTCAAATTGCCTCTATTTGAAATTAATTTAGATACTCTTGCTTTCTTTTCATGAATGTTAGCATAGAATATTCTTTGCACTGATTTATATTTTTTATATTTAAAACAGGTTTTTTGTGAGCAACATAAAATTTGGTCTTGATTTTTTATATACTATGACAATCTTAGTTTTTTAACTAATACTCTTATATCATAACATTTAAAGTGATATTGATATAGCTGGATTAATATTTACCACATTTGTTACAATTTCTCTGTTTTTTCCATTCCTTTTTGTTTTCTATTGCTTTTTTGCCATTAGCAGTTCTGAGCATTTTACATAATTCTATTTTCTCTCCGTGTTTGCATATTCTTTTTACTTTTATAGTGATTACCATAGTGTTTGCTATATACATTTAAAACTATTCCAATTAAAGTCCAATTTTAAATAACATCATATCATTTGACAGGTCATGTGAGTACCTTATAATAACAAAATCTTTTTTTTTTGTTCCTCCTTCCAGTCTTTAAATCATTGTCATTTATTTAATTTAGAAAAAAAGTGTCATTAAGCTAGCAAATTTGGCCACTTACATTTATTTGATATATTTGAATTTTTTTCTAATGGCTGAGTTTATTATGACAATTTACCCCCTCTTCTTTCTATTCTCCTTTACTGCTTTCTTATACTTTTGAACTGATAGTTTACATTTTCCATAACAAAACACTGCAACATGTTGCTTCAAGATGAGTTTGTTTCCTCACAGTTCATTTTCAATCATAATCACCATAGGAATCCTGTAAGAAGGTGGACCCTTTAGAAAGCTGTTAGGTCCAGACAGAGTCTTTATGACAGCGATTTGGACCATTGTAATGGGCCTGAGAGAGATCTCTAGCCCTTGCTACTGAGAAAGATTGCACCCTAATCAGGTACCAAATCTGCTAGTGCTCTGATGTTGGACTTTCCAGTCTCTGGGAGAGTGAGGTACTATGTTTTATTTGTTTATTTTTAATTTTTTCCCGGTACCAGAGATCGAACTCAGGACTTTGTGCTTGTGAGGCAGGTGCACTGCCCCTAAGCTAAATCTCTGGTCCCAGGAACTATATTTTATTACAAACGATCTGGTTTTATTCTACGCTATATTTTGTTACAGATACTCACATAGACTAAGACACATGTCTCAGGCCTTCTGATGATATCCCTCCTCAACTTTCTCTATTATCTGACTTTAAATCTAAAATTTCAAATTTCAGATAGTATGACTGTTTTCTTTCCATTTTGTTATTATCTTTTTGTTTGTTTGGATACCGGGGATCGAACTCGGGTCCTTGAGCTTGCGCAGCAGTCGGCGAAACCACTGAGCTACATCTCCGGCCCCATCCATTCTGTTATTATCTTTTAAGGAAGAACAATAAGAACATTGACTGTCTTATACATTTCATGCAGTATCTTCAGGATTAGATTCTTCTTTAATTTAAGGGATTCTCCTGTAACTATTTTAAACGTGAGACTTGTCGTATTACCTCTTTTGCAGCTGTCTCACTTCCATTAAACTCTTGGTGGGTGTCTTCTAAAACACATGCTGCCTCCTGAGGGCTCAACATCTCCCTTTGGTTTTTTCTCTCTCTCTTTGGGAGGATCGCCTCTTCCTCAAAAACCTTGCTCTTCTGTCTCGTTCTCATTTCCCTGGATGTGATGGTTACTCTTTCTCATGATGGGCAATTCGGAAGGTCTGGAGGAGGGTCCCTCTCAGGATGAGAACCAAGTGCTCAGGAGGAGAGGAGAGGAAGGAAGATGAGGGTAAAGAACAGCAGTCACCAGGAAGCTGCCTGTCACCCTGCACCCTTCCAAACACTGTCCAGCCAAGGCTTCCACAAACTCACAAGGGAGAAACTGCCCTCTGGTACTGTGGGACTCCCCAGGAGTTCATTTCTGGAAGAAAATTCTGAAGTCCAGTCAGTCTATCTTCTGACCTTAGCTGCTCTGTCTGGCAGGACTTCTGAGGTATGGTAAGTTTATTTGGGAGGGCCTTTGCAGCTGAACTCTGAGCAATTACCATCAATGCCAGCAATGAGATGGAAGGTGTTGATTGCCAGAAGCAGACCTCGATCACTGAAGACAGCCAAAAATAATATTATACCTGTGTATTTTATTGGAGTGGGTAATATAGTAGTTCAAGAGGCAGATCAAGATCAAAGCTACAAGTACTGAGTCCAGGGACAAAGGTAAAGTTTAAGACAGGCTTATTTCAGAGTAGAAGCCTTTGAGTCCCAGCAGCGTCCTTTCTCTTCTTAAAGCACAATACTGGTAAACGATTAAAGAACTATACCCAAGTCTGCCACTTTGAAATGCTAGTATATGTTATATTATATCACTTGATTACATTAAGGAAACAGTTTATGATAGAAGAAGCTTGTCTTTTTAAGTAAAATACTTTACAATTTGGAAAGTGACCCATCTCAAAGCTACCTCCAGGCAAACAGTTCTCTTGAACACTAGATCTGCCTTAGTTGTGTCCGCTGGGTCTATGAGATGTTTTAGGTATCTCAAATTTGGCTTGTAAAAAGATTTCACTGTGTTTAGGACCCAAAATTCTTTTTGTGGCATTTCTGATCCAAAATATCGTATTCTACATCCAGTTATCCAAACTAGAAACTTGAAAAACAAAACTGGAACCTTTATTTTCCGTTTTTGTCACAAAAGCTGGTTTTCCTCTTAAAACTCCTCCCAAGTGTGTCTGAAAATTTCTTTCTCTCTTTCTGTGTCCATCATTTAAAAAAACGTTGTCTGAGTTCAGCTTTCTAATAGATTTCTTTGGAGTAAACTGAAATATATCATGTCTGTCAGAATTAATTGATAAAATGTGATGTCTTTACATTACATTTTAAAATGTAGATCAATCTTCCAATATTTGGGATATTTCTAAGCTTTCATATTTCTATCTTTTTGTTGTATCTGTATAGATATCCTTTCTGTTTTTCAAATATACTGGTTCTCTGTATTATCAGTGGCTTTTCACGTACTGCTTATTTTAAATTTTATTTATTCTGCAATTTATGAACTCATTACCTTCTAAAAACAGCTCAAATATCACATCCATACATACTTTAACCTATGCAAACAAAATTAATTGCTTTTTTTCTATATACTGCTTAACATAATAAACTTGTACTGAGCAAGTACTGTGACACTATCACTGTCTTTTTATTGCATCCATGAAATTATTAATTCTTCCACAGCATTTATTTTGACTTTGTTTTTACTCTCCTTGTTCCTCTAGATCTGTTTTGACTCCATAACTTAGCAGAGTAATTGTCATATTGCAGCTACCCAACAAATGTTTACTGAGTGAATCAATAAGATTATCAATCAGATAAGTTCATCAAAGCTGCACATGTGACAGCATGGAAACTTGGAAATATCCCCTGAGTGCAAGTCCAGAACTTTCCTCATAATAAGTAATTGACTTACCACAATAGCAGATAAACACAGCCTTTACCTTTTAGTTCAATGTCAGTCTTCTCGTTCTGCCAGGAGCTCTTAAAAGTCTATTACATAATGGTGAACTTCTGTGCCTTTGCTTTGAAATCTCTCAATTAAAAGTTCTCTATCCTCATGCTACTGGAGTTCTAAGGCTTGTCATGGAAAATTTCAGCTTTCTTCTTCCTTTGCCATTTTGTTAAGCTCTGAGAAAGACATTATATTACTTTCTCTGAATTTAAGTCTTGCATAAAGCACAGGGATGGTAGGTAGTACAGTGACAACAAAAGAAAACATGTCATCAGTGTAACTAACTCATTTCATACCCTCTTAAAATCCTAGCTTGTTGGATAGATCCTACTCTGCTTGTTGAGTTTGTGTCTATTAACTCTTTGTCATTTGTCAAACAAATTTAGGATTTTAATATGAGAATTTTGACCCTGTAAGTATCTCTTTTGTCTTGAGCTAACACTTCTTTGAAGATTAAGGCCACAGACAATAAAAAACCTTTCTCTGAAATTTTTGAAAGCTTCTGGTTATTCTTGTGTCTGCCTTCATAAGATTTCCTGATGATTTCTGAAATTCCCTCTTCCTTGATTTCAACCATCGGGACTTTTATGGACAGCACTTATTTCTCTTTTTCAGCTAGACTTCTGGAATCGCTGCCTTTGAGAATGTTCCACCACTCCCTTCAGCTGGCCTGGGCTATTCAACAGAAAATAGGCTTTCCATCATGTCCACTTGAAAACATTGTCTGGGTTTTTATAAATCATTGACATTAGTTTACAATAAAACCATAAATGTATTGCTCCAATAATCTGATGTAATCAAGTTAGGAAATGCTTTATCTGTACAGTGAAGTTATATTGAAATGGCTGAGAAGTACCAATTGTTATAGGAGAATGATAAATATACTTTTTACTATAAAGTTTTGCAAAAAATTATTTTAATTCTATATGCCTATAAACCTTATATAGTCCTTTGATTCCCCCCCCTTTCCTGCTTTTTCTTAGATGTTCTTGGCAGCTCTGTCATTCAGCTATATTTGTAAGATAATCGGTGGGATCACTATGAAAACTGCCATTACTCAGATTGAAAGGAGATTTGACATATCCTCTTCCGTTGCTGGTTTCATTGATGGAGGCTTTGAGATTGGTAACTTTTATTTGTATTTTAATATTCACACTTGAGGAGGTAATGCTGTTCATATGTTCTCCACCTCTAGGTCTCAGCCAGGGTACTTTTGTCCCTCCAGCCAATTTGGCAATATATGGAGACAGTTTGTCATAACTGGGACATGTGCTACAAGTCCCTGAGGTAGAGGACAGGGATACTGTTAAGCATCCCTCTGTACAGGAAGAACCCCAACAATGAAGAATTACCTAGCTCAAAATGTCAGCAGTTAGGACACTGAAAATGTCTGATTTTCACAGGCTTATTGCTTTCACACTAACACATTGTGAGGCTTTGCCTTGTCTCTCTCAAGATGCCCAAATGTAAAGAAAGGCTGACAACTATGATTCTTATGATTTGGGGAGGATGGAGCAGTTTTGGAGCAGTGTGTTAGAGTTATACTAGTTTTACCTGTTTGGGGTTTTTTTTCCTACAGCATTGAAGACATTGCTTTGCTGTCCTCATTTTAATTTTAATGTTTTCTCCCACAACAGTGAAGACTTACATATATATTAAACATTTTTTAAATTTTATGAGTTTGCACTGCATTAGCTATCTTTTGTCACTCTAACCAAATACCTACTTAAGTCAGCTGATTCAGAAAAGGGTTGTTTTGGCTTGTGGTTGCTGAGATTTCAGTATAAACCAGCTCCATTGGTTTTAGGCCTGTAACAAGGCAGAGATATCATGGCAGAAGTGTCTGGTGGAGAAAGCTGCTCACCTCATGGCAGCCAGGGACCACAGAAGGAGCCTGTGCCAGCAAGCATCCTCCTACTGTTTTGGTTCCGCCCAGACCCCAACCCTATTGGATAGTGCTGCCTGCATTCAGATTGTCTCCCCCTTTGGTTTGGTGTCCTACATGCCAGTCATCTCTGATAACACCCACAGACACACCCTGAAGTGTGCTTAGTCGATTAAGATTAATCCTCACATGACAGGCCGGGGATTTCGCTCAGTGGCTGAGCCTGCCTGAGAGCACAAAGTCCTGAGTTTGGTATGGGGGTGTGGGGGGGATGATTAATCATCACAGTAACTTATTATCTCTGCTAATTTTTTCATTTCACTTTTTAATCATTTGAAGAAGCCCCAAAATTATATTTATCATACAGATTTCAAATATTTTCTACAAGTAAAACATACTGCGATATTTTAAAAGTAATTGTATAAAGGAAAATATATCTATATTTTTCTTATTAATTCTGAAGTTTTGTGATTCAGAAGATATTAACCCTACATATATTTCATTCTTCCACATACATGACTTAAGCATATAGAATTTTAAAATTAGACTGTTATTAGCTTTTAAAAATTATTTTTATTTTTTATTAGTGTATGTTTGCAACACATATATTGCAATAGTGATGTTCATTTTGGAAAATTAGCACATACTTAAAACTTGACCATTTTCAGTCTCTTCACCCCCTCTCCCTTGGCTATCCTCTCCCTTTAATACTCTTCCCAACTCCAAAAAGAATACCTTTTGTTTCATGAGATTTAGAGTTTAATTCATTCTATGTCTCTTGTTTATCAAGAAATTAATTCTAATATTTTTGCCAAGTTTTGCAGCCATTTAACAGCAATTATTTGAAGAGCATTAGAGCTCCTTTTCTTACTTCTGATTCTTAACTCTTGTAACTTCAAGTCTTTTCTTTAGTTTTTTGGAGCACATTTTCAAGTCGCAATTATTTCCAGAAAGAATTGAAAGCATGTCATATGTTCTGATCCTCTGCCTTTGAAAATGTGTTTATTTTACTGTCATGTCAAGTATTAATTTGCATATGGAATTAAAAATTCACAATATTTTTATTAGAACATTTAAGACATTCATGACTGTTTTATAACATTCAAAGTTGTATAGGAGAAATCATTACCAGTGTAATTCTCCTGCACTGATGTGTATCTCTTCTCTATTCATGAAATTTTACCACCATCTATCCATGATTTTCTTTTTACATTATTTCTACTGGAAGTGGAAGAATTTTTCTTCTGATTGTTTAAGTCTTTGTTTAGTTAGGAAATTTATTTTTTTTCTTTTTAAAATTTCTTTTCTTCTAGACATCTCTAAGATGAAGTTAGATTTTTCTGTATATTTAATTTTTTTGTTTTTAAATATTCACCTTCTTTTAATGTTCCAGCAGTCTTCTCTGCTGCTGTCAATCTTTTCATATAAAATTCTAACTTGCACATTTTTCTTTGTTTTTTGGGTTTTTTTAGGGGGGTACTGGGGATCAAACTCAGGTCCTTGCGCTTGCGGGGCAGGTGGCGAAACCACTGAGCTAAATCCCCGGCCCAACTTGCACATTTTTCTATAATTTTAAAAATCCATAACAATACTTTATCTTGCTATTATTTTTAGTCTGGCAGTTCTTATTTTATAGAAGCAACTTGTTCTCATAGCTCTAGCGACGCTAACTGGAGTTTTTCAAAGTTTCTTCTTTTTTTGGTTTAATCCTTGTTTGTTAATGCATGTGCTTGATTATCTGCCAGATCATTTTGGTGCTTTTCTGTCATTTTTTTTCTATCAAATTTTCAGTAATTCTTAGTTGCTGTCCATTCATCATTACACCTGTATCTCCAGATGGAGCAGAATTTTTGATGACTGTCTCCACTTGCAATGCTCATTTTCCTTTTTTAACCTACATAATTTATACTTACCATTAAATCTCAAGTGACCTTTCCTCCTGGAAGATTTCTGGAAGGCCTTAACTTTCTTAAAGTTCTCTTTTTCTGTGGACTAATAGTAATTCTATCTGTCTGTTTTTATCACTGGTGTATAAAATATCCCAAGGACAGGTACCACGACTTATTCTTTTTTTGTTTTTTTTAATGTTTCTGGCTCCAATCACCATGGCAGATGCATAATGGAAATTTAAAGAAGGCTAGAAACAAATGACTACATGAATTCATGAACACCTTTCCCTGGAGTCAGGAAGATTTTTCTCCATCTTTTTCCCATCTTAATACTATCTAGCAACTCCAAATTCCTCACTAAAGTTTCACTTCACTAATATTGCCAAATAATTCAAGTGTTTTCATTAGTATCTAATACTTATTCTAAAACAAAAACAAAATTCTCAAAACTTATGTGGTACTTTATACTATTTGCTGAAAAACAACTATTCTATTTATTCCTCATACCACACAACATTTTAATCACTGTTTTATTTTAGTTGGAGTTTCACCATCTCCACTAGATTGTCTAATCTTTGAGGAAAGGTATTATATCTTGTGTTCCATTTGCATTCATTCTGAGCCTTCAGATCTGTTGGACACAAAATTAAGCACAGTCAGTATTTGCTGGAATGGATCATACCAATATAATTGTGTTTACTTTCTAGGAAATTTGCTTGTGATTGTATTTGTAAGTTACTTTGGATCCAAACTGCATAGGCCGAAACTCATCGGAATAGGTTGTGTCGTTATGGGGGTCGGAAGTATTTTGACTGCTTTACCACATTTCTTCATGGGATAGTAAGTGTCAAACAGCTCTGCACTATTAATGGTCATTATCTTGTAAATTAGTAATACAGTTTCTTTTTTTTCCCTCCTAAATAGGTGGTTCTACATTTTGAGATTATGCACTATGCATAGAAATGAGTATATTTGTATGTTATAATTAGCTTACTACTTTATTTATCATGGCCTTCATAATTTCAATATGCATAGTAATAAATAGGAAGTATACTTTCATAGAAAATAAATAAGCTCTTTTTGACCTATTGGCATAACAAATATAGCTCATGTCTGCAGCTAAGATTTAAATTATATTCAACTGGACTCCACCACCTGACCCTCTGCAGTGTGGGTTTTCCCACTGTTGTTCTACTGAGGCGGCTCTTCCAAGGGCCACTGTGTAATTCTGATTAGAGGTGAGTGCTCAAGAGAGGAAACTCAAATAGCAATGGATCATGTAAGAGAGAAGCTTATTTTTCACAAACAAGTTAATATGAATAAACAATTCAAGGATGGCATGATGCTGCTTCATTTCATCATCTTGTTCTGCAGTGCCTGCCCTTGGCCACATGTTCTTCCAGGCAGCAGGATATACGAAGCAAAGAACGAGGAGCTGTAGCAGCCAAGATTACACACAAGATGAGGCCTGAGAGACATTTCAGAAGCCTAATGTCGGCACCAACATCACTAGGCCCGGAAATTAGTTATATTTCATGCACAGAAAGACATTTTGGTCTGCCATGTTCCCTCCTAAAAATCTCAACTTCAATTACTGTTAGAGGAAAGAACAACAAATATTGAGAAACAGTGAGCCATTCTGCCAGAAACAAGAAGAATTTATTGCCAAATTCAACAACCTTATGCGTTGCCTATCATATTAACTCTGGTTTTTTTCAACATTTGATCCTTATGAGAACTTTCTTCTTTGTGATACTGCTCCTTCTAATTTTTAGCATAATATACTCTCTTGGTTTATTTCCATGTTTGTGCCTCTTTAGAATGCCCAACGTTTTCCATTTGCTGCTAGTACCATAATGCCTCATTAATCTTTTCCTTATTTTACATGATTTCTGTGGAGTATATGCTTTTTCTAACATTCAAGAATTTTTCTAACATTCAGAATCTGTATCTTCTTCCACTTCCTTTTGTATATCTCCAACATAATATCCCACAAACATTTCCTATACAAATTCTCATTATTGAATTCATCATCTTTCTAAGACCAGCTCAGATTTTTCATATTCACTTTTTTACCAATGGTTCATTTAACCACAAAGGAAATGAAATGAAAGTCAAGGACTTCATCCTGGACTCTCCTTTTATTACAACAGAAAACTGGTGATTACCAAAATCCTGCTTATTCTGCCTCCTAGCTGTCAAAGTTTGTCATAGCTTCTCTCCTTATCCTAGTTGAGACTTCAGTCATTCTTGGTCTGAACTTTTTCCCTCCAGTTTCCTTCTAGTCTAACTCATGTTCAATACTAGAGTATATACTCAAAAATGCAAATCTCTGCTTAAATCTCCAAATTTCCTAAAGAAATTTTCAAACTTCATGCCCTGGACCTTTCATTAATGGACAAACAAGACAACTCAGATGATTGAGACCAACAATTTTTGCACATGATATAAAAAAAGATACAATGCAAATAGGGATAAATGCTGTTCTGTGAAACTTTCCTTTTGATTATAAATATATATTTGTGAGTTTGTTCATGTATTGTGTTTGGGATGGAAAATGCATCTCGTATTATTATTACCATGAAAAATATCGAAAGGTCTTTTTGCATTGCTTCTCAGCCTTTTGGCTAAGATTCAGTGAAAGGACTCTTTGCTTATGGGTTAATGTCTAAACTCATTTGCACATGCCTGCTACTCATTAATTTGGTTTGCAATTATCTTTCTAGCCTCATTTTCCGATACTCCCCACAACTGAGAAGCACACTGAAGGTTTTATACGAGCCAAATGTCATACTCCTGAATATATTGCTTTTGCAGTCTAGACCACCTATTAAATCCTGTCCATCACCAAGACGTGTCTCACATGTCACCCTCATCATGAAATCTTCTCTATAAAACCGATCACAAAATGATCTGCACAACTGATCCCCACTTCCTACAAAACTGATCATTCCTCTTTTCCTGGTGACAACTCAAGACTTTGTATGTGTATATTAGCTTTCACAGTTTGTCATGTATATTTATCTTAATGTGAAATTCTATAAGCACAAAACTATGTATTTTATTTCAGGTTTTTTTTCTGGTACCAGGGATCTAACTTGGGACCTTATGCTTGCCAGGCAGGTGCAGCACCACCGAGCTACATCCCCTGCCCTTCTTTTAGGTTTTTTGAAGTGGAACCTAATGCCCAGTAAAGAGCAGACTGCCATTGAAGCTACAGAGAACATCAGTATTTTGGGATATTAGCATTTGTACCTCTTCATTTCTGTTGATCTTATTAATTAAATTCTCCTGTATTACATTGAAGTGGATTAGAATTCCTTTACCTAGGTTTTGAAGATCAGATATTACCATGTAAGTGTGTGTGTCCATTTAGAAATGAAAATCAGGTTGTTGATAGAAAATGTAAATGAGCTGGCATGCATTATAGATCTGTTTGGGGAATACAGCTCTAAAGTTTATTAAATCTAATTATAATTTATCTTAAAGTTTAGATTGTGACCATCTTTGAATATAATTCAGAAGGAATAACTAGAAAGAGTTAGCCGCTTAAGGAATAAACTGGCAAAACCAAAATATTTCATAAAGGATCCAGAATATAAGCAGTCATAGGACAACTACAAGGCAATAATGCCACTAGGGCATCTTCCTTAAGAAATACTCCCATTTCATTTTCAGCCATCATCTGTCCTAAAACGCAGGCTGGATACTTGATATAGACAAGTCTGATAATTTGGAGAAGAGAGAGGTACACATAAAGGAAAAAAGTTTTCTTGTTTCTGGGAAAATTGAAAATATTCCTTGAACAAGGAAAATTTTAAATCTAATGATATTCTTACAGTTACAGGTATTCTACAGAAAGCCATGTTAATACAACAGAGAGTTCAATATCAACTTGTTTAATTAATGAGACTTTATCACTCACTAAGCCATCAACTGAGATAGTAGGAAAAGGTAAGAATTAATAGAGATGAAAATATCCTAAAATTAATTAATTTAATAACATCTATAAAAATGTTTGTGATACTTCTTGGAAAAATTAAAGAACAAAAAGAAAAATTATTTTACATTTACATACAGATAAAATCATAGTATTAATATATATTATATATAAGGAACTTTCAGAAGTAAATAAGAAAGTGGAAGATTTCAGTACAAAATTGGTAAAGAATATATGCATTTAAAATAAAGCAGAAGGAACTGACCTAAGAGTGTATGAAGGTTTGCTTTTTATGAATAAGGCAAATTATTACACTATAGTAATATTTGTTGACTTATAACACAAATCATAAATTATAATTACAAGTGATAACACTGAAGATGTTGCTACCTAGTAGATAAGTTTAAGAGTAAAGATATAATGAAAGGAAAAAGACAAAAATGGAAAAATATTTCAACATTTTTAGCATTTGGGGGTGTAATAAATGTATAAATTTTTCTGCAAGTTAATTTTTTGTACATATAAAATAACAAAAATATTTCTGTTTAATTATCTCAATTATTCTACTGCCATACATTAATCTCAAAGTCATAATCAAGAATGTTCACAAATATTTACTTACAATTATACAAAGCCATCTCAGTTTATCAGAATGAAAAATTAAAACTATTTTGCTATTTAAAAATATAAGATTAATTAGATTATGAAACTGGTTTTCAACCCAATTCTACGCCATCATTAAAATCGTGATGTAAATAGTTAACACAAGGAAAAACAGCACAGCGAGCTGTTAGAATGCAGTATTAACTGTAAAAGCAGATTTTAATAGGAACTGGATATTTAAGCCTATAATGTTCAATTCAATATCATGTATTTTCATGAGCACCAAAAATCTGAGAGATATGTAACAAACATTAGAAATCACTTTTTCTGTTAGTGGGATTTCAGATAATTTTTACTTGGCTCTTAAAAAAAATGAAATTAATGAAATGCTTATATGCTTGATTTTATATCCTCTTACATATAACTAAAAGGAATGTTCATTCCCTGTAATTTAACACTTTTTTAAACAAAAAGCTTTATGGCAACATTAATAGTACTTTAAATAATGGAAGAAAAATTACATTTTAAAATTTTTTGTTGCTTTTCATGTTTTTCTCTATTTCTGAACTGCAAAGTAAATGTAAATCCTTTTTGTGAAGAAAAAAAAAAAACAGGACTAGAAATGTTCTAAAGTGCCTGAGTATCTGATAGAAATGCTGCAACTAATGTTTCAAATAAAATGATTCCTTCTCTACATAGGTTGTGAGAAACAATCTGAGTCATACATGTGGATCTATGTCCTAATGGGTAACATGCTTCGTGGAATAGGGGAAACCCCTATAGCACCACTGGGAGTTTCTTACCTTGATGACTTTGCTAAAGAAGGATATTCCTCTGTTTATTTAGGTAATGCACAGAAAATGTTAAATTGAATGATTATTTTTCCTGTGTCTACCTTGAAATTACAATGCCATTATTATTAGTAGTAGTAGTATTTTACCTGTAAAAGTTGTTTGGAGAAATGTAATGTGTAATGTTACTTTAGAAAACATATTTCATAAGAATTATGTATTCTTGGTAGCTAATAAAATTGTTCTGTGATGTTTACAGGTATTTTGAATTCAGTAGCAATGATTGGTGTGATTGTTGCCTTTTTGATGGGAGCTGTATGTACTCGAATGTATGTGGACATTGGCTATGTGGATCTCAGTAAGTACAATCAGAACAAGATAACGGGATGGAATCTTTCCAGTATCTGATACCACTCTACCAAATCATTGAATTCACTTTTTCAATATAGTCCTTTGCTTACCATTTTTCAAAAGTTACAAGTTGGAAAAAGTACATTAGTAATTCCAATAAAAATACAACTCAGGTCCTAAGGTACCATGCTTTTACCACTAAATATAAGACAAGTGTAACAATCTTGTTTTAGGTTATTTGATTCAAACAAACTTAGTAGGGTCGGTCCTCCCTTAGAACCGACCAAGTAAATTTCATTTTTTAGTTGATGATAGTTTGGATGTAGAAGTGCAGAACTTACAGTTTGCTTTGCTAAAGGTGCCGAGAGATTGAAGAGCTGACTGATGGCTGGAGTGCTTTGAGGGACTCTATGATTTGATTGTGATCACTTATTCTGGTCCTGGAAATATTCAATAACTGCTATAGGATAAATCGGTGAAGGGGTACACACCTAAATAATACCATGCTTGAATGTTGGTGAATTCATACCTGTATCATTGGAAAATATTTTTCTTTGCCTCTTGAGATAGTTTTTGACTTAGAGTTTATCTTACGTGATTGATACATCTCTACCCCCATTCTTTTTGATTAGCACTTGCACTATCTTCTAATCTGCCATTTTTATCCCGTACATCCAGCAAAACCTTGGTTTGCAAGCATAATTCGATCCAGACACATGCTTGTTATCCAAAGTACATGTGTATCAAATCAAATTTCCCTATAAGAACTAATGGAAACTCAGATGATTCATTTCACAATCCAAAGATATTCATATAAAATGATTACAATACTATAATACAAAAATCATAAAAAATACAAAATATAGAGGAAAAACAAATTAACCGGCACTTACCTTTGAAAACTTTCTTGGCTGGTATAAAGGAGACAACAGAGAGGAGGGTTATTATGTAGGACAACTTTCACTGTCACTGACGAAATCACTGCTGTTTATTGGCTTAATGGAATTTTTTTCTTTTTGTGGAACTCTAACAAGGAACCTATCCAATACACTTGCTTTTGCTTTCTTTTGAGGATGTCACAGAAATATGACTTGCATTGTTGTTAAACAGATTATCACTTGCACTGCTACAGACTTATTTGAGTGGGAATTTTTTTTTTACAAAATTTGCACTGTTTCCCACATTTTACACATCTCCCTAATCTCATTTGAAGTGAGCGATTCTTCTGCCTTTTCCCCCTCCTCCTTTGCAAGTGAGATCTCCCCTAAAACTCTTGCTGTTGGGAGATGATCACCCATAATTCTACAGAGAGAGAGAGAAAGAGGGGAAGAAAGAGAGAGAGAGAGAATATCTTGGCTCAGTTGTGATCATGTGATTTTCAGCATCATCTCCTACTTTGTATTGCAAGACATTGCTTGTTTATTAAGTTAAAATATATTAGAAATTGGGCCGGGGATCTAGCTCAGTGGTTTCACCGCCTACCTCGCAAGTGGAAGGACCCGAGTTCGATCCCCAGTACCAAAAAAAAAAAAAAGAAAGTAAAAATATATTAGAAATGTTTGCTCATCTTGCAGAACACTTGCAGAACAAGTTATTTGCAACCCAAAGTTTAACTGTATTTTTTAATCTGAGATGAGTCTCTTACAGACCGCATGAACTTGTATCTCAATTTAGCCACTCTGTGGCTGTGGTTGGGGAGCTACATTCTTTTACATTTAAAGTAAATAATGAAAGGGATGGATTTAATATTGTTTTGTTAATTGGTTTCTCTTTGTATTACAATGCTTTTGTTATTTTTCTCTCGTTTTTCTTTGTCATTTGTTGTTTGGGCATTGATATGATTTGATTCTTTTTTCTTCATTTTTGTAACTTCTACAGACATTTTTCTGAGTATTGTGAGTTATATAAAATATCATAACAGTCTATTTTAAGCTGATAGTAACTTCACTCCAAGTGCCTATGCAAACTATAGTCTTATTACTCCATATGGTATGTCAAAGTGATGATAATTTGCATCTATTTTTATTGTGCATCTATTTTTATTGTACATCTATGAACATATTTTAGGTATATTATTTTAATGCTTTTCCCTTTTACTTTTATATTAGGATTAAAAGTGACTTATTTGCCACCAAAATAGTAAAATATTTTGCATTTGTCTATGTGTGGTTTTACCAATGAACCGTATACTTCTTTATGCAATCATATTATCCCTTAGTGTCCTTTTGTTTCAAGTTGAAGAATTTCCATTAACTTTTCTTGTAAGACAGGTCTAATGGTGGTGATTTGTCCTGCACAAGGGGACTTCCACATGTTGACTTTCCATACTGTGACAAAATACCTGAGAAAAACAAAGGAAGAAAGATTTATTTTGGTTCATAATTTCAGAGGTTGGTCCATGATTAGCTCAGGCTTTATCTTTTTCTAGACTTGTAACAAGACACAACATCATGGTGAAAGGGTGTAGTGAAGCAAAACTGCTTTCCTCTTGGTGGGCAGGAAGGAAAGAAAGCTAGAAGGAAGGTGCTGGCAGAAAACACAGCCACAAAGGAACACCCTGGGATACACTCCCTTCTGCTGGGTCCCACTTCTTTAATATTTTCCATAATTATTATTCATCATTAATATTTTAACTGTGACTCCATCAATGAATTAATCCACTGGTGAACTGAGAGGCCTCAGGATCCTGTTGTATTCAGAAGCCCCATCTTTGAACACACGAGTCTCTCAGGGGGACATTTTAGATCCACATTATTAGCAGAATGATTTTCAGTGGAAACCTCACAGGACAGAAAGAAGTGGAATTATGTATTCAAAGTGCTGAAATAAAGTCTGTCAACCAAGACTATGATAGCCATCAAAGCTGTTCATCAGGGGTAAGGGAGAGGGAGAGGAAGGGGTAAAGGGATAAAAAATGATCAAAATATGATATAGATATGTACCAATTCCCCCAAAAGAATGTAAATATTATATATGACAAACATATACTAATAAAAATGCAATAAAACAAGCCCTTTAAAAAGCTGCCTTAGAGCCAGCTGACTATGGACTGAAACCTCTACAGACTGTAGGGTAAAATAAAGCTTTCCTCCTTTAACCTGTGAGTATTAGATATTTTGTCCCAGCAATGAGAAAATAACTGAGATAAGTGAAGTAGAAACCAGTCCTTTGGCCAATTCTCTCAGAATTTTGAACATTTGCATGTCATCCAACTCTTTCCCACCCCAGGTAGAATCTGTGAGCTTGTGTTTCTCACCTCTTCACTTTTCATAGCTCTAGAGAAAAGGGGCTATAGCAAGTGGTCCTGTACTAGTTCATGCTACCATCTTTGTTCTTTGTAGCCCCCATGGGTCTAGCATACGCCTGGCCCCAAGACAGACAAGACAAAAGCCTTCATGGGACCCAGAAAAGATGAAATGTTAGGTTTGTGGTTTGATTCTTTCCCTCCCCATGGGGAAGCTAGAAGTTGGATTTATTTATTTTCTGCCTGCTCACTCTGCACTAATCCATGTTGCAAGTTTTGATGAGTCCCCAGACACTACTTCGAACTGCCACATTTGTTCCTTGTAGACCAGAGCCTGAGCTTATATCGGGTCCTGTCAGCATTCTGAGATGGGTAAGATGCACTTGGAAAAGTAGAAACATTTAATGTGTACTCCAGCTTTTTCCCTCTCCATTCACCTTGTGTTGGCCAAAGGGAAAACCTGTAGCAAATGTCTACACATGAGTTCAGATTGTTTGTTCTTCCTGATCATAGGACACTACGCTGGGGGTTTCCACGTCGCACTGGTTTTAATTTGACTGGTTTTGTACTTGCTGGTGATAGCAGTAACTTTCAGTTAGTTTCTGGATTTCTCAAAAATGGAAACAATCTGGTGTGTGCATTGCTGTTGAATCAGTGTGTCCATTGGAAGAAGTGGAGTCTATAGCTTTCTTTCCTGCCACCTTACTGCTACCTCATGTATTCTTCTTTCATAAGACAGACTTTACACCTACTGAAGTAACTCATTTGTATTTGATATATAGCACTAACAACATTTTTATGCATACTTTTAATGAAAATACAGTTGAAATAAAATGGCTAAATTACTTCTATTATTTAGAGTCTAACTTGTCTGGGTTACTTTTAAATGCAGATTTTCACTGTGTGTATTTTTTGTCAGTTTCATCCTTTGTGCTGTCAAGGGAGTTAAAGATGCATGTTTCTAGAGTGGGGAGGGAGAAGCCCTTCTATTGGCTCTGAGAATATCTTGCAAACTGCTTTAAATTTTATTGCTGGTACTTTCTTGGCCTCATCAGATGGCACTAATGTTTTCATACAATGATGAGGATCCATACACTTTCCATGTTTTGGAAGTCATTTTCAGCTTAAAGGTCCAATATTGGCAGTTTTTCAGTCATGTCATTGGAAAAGCAATCAATTTTACACAAGCTCAGTCACTGGCAGCAATGTTCTGACTCCTTCCTAATCAATAGCAATTGTAAAATATCATCAGATGTTAAATTTAAGCCAACTTTTAATATGAAAAAACATGAAAAGAAGAAAACATCTTTAAACTGATGAAATATAGTTTCCTATGTTTGTCTATGAAGGACCACACTCATTATCAATACTGCCCACCACTCATTGTATTTCAAAATGATTTTTGACTGGCTTTTCTAATTGTTTGCTCTAGGCAGCATCAGAATAACTCCTCAGGACTCTCGCTGGGTTGGAGCTTGGTGGCTGGGGTTCCTTGTGTCTGGACTGCTCTCCATTATTTGTTCCATGCCATTCTTTTTTCTGCCTCAAAATCCAAATGAACCGCAGAAACAAAGAAGGAAGGCTTCAACATCTTTGCATGGACTCAACACAGATGAAGAAAAAAATCAAGCAGCTAATTCGACTAATCATGAGAAACATGGTACTTTAAGTATGACTGGTAAGTATTTTAAATTCATAGTCACTGTGTAATTGTTAATCCTAATGGAAAGGAAAAGTGAGTATTCCAAAATAATAACTCACATTGAAATCATCTAGAGTTGACTTCCTTGGGCACTAAACATAGCTGAAATATTTTTCTCAAATTCCTATTAAAATTAGTAAATATTTTCTTGAACATAGAACAAAGTGAATAGGACTGAAAATGTGATCTTTAGCATGGAGAAAACAACCAAATGCCAAACAAAAAAAATACCCTTGTTCTCTATAAACCAAAAAGTATGTACCATTCTGTCATATATAGAATATTGAATTACACAAACTCTAATACTTTATTTATTTATTCAACAAGTGATACCAGGCACCACAGTATATGCTAGTGATAGAACACAGCATCTATTTTCCAAGAATTTACTTGATTCTGAAAATATGGGGACAACTGTAATTAACTGTCTGAATAACCACAATAAGGTTAAATGTAACAATTTTTGGTTGTAGACATGGAATATGCAGGAAATCTTGAGAAACTTCCCTCTAGGTAATTGGAGTAAGATATTTTTTTCTTGGGAAGCATATTGAAAAATTGCTTTACAAAATGTCTATCACTGAAGTGGTAGCACACTTGAATAATTGGAGTCAGTAGTATAAATTAGAATCATTCTCTGTTTGACAGTGGCTTCTGTTTAAAATATAAGCCCTTGGGGATAATGGAGAACCACTGGGAAGTAATAATCAAGAGGATAATCCAACAGCAGTCAGGCACAATAATGGAATGATGAAGTGTTGACAGCAATTTTCAGACTTAAGAGACCTGATAAAATAGTAAAAGTTAAAGCAATGCAATGCCTAAACCCTCAGCAACCTTTCCAGTTGATATTGAAATGGTGTTACAAATTATCAGGTATAGCCCAAGTACTTCCTCTCCACAGTTCATTAGTTTACCCATTTCATTGTTGTCTTCTCCTCTCCATCACTTTAAACCAAGAACAATGATGTGTTGGAGCCATCTTGTATTGGCTTGTGGAAGAGAACTGTTGTTGTTTTCAGCTATGTTAGTGTCTGGAAGTTGGCCACAGTAGGAAAATTTATCACTATTTACTACTGTGGAAACTGGGAAATACTACACATAAGGATTTGTTACCCCAAGGGTCAGTTGTTAAATATTTACCAAAACACCACTGAATTATCAGTTTTTGAAATTTAACATACACATTAAGAATAACATATCAAAATCATTCATTTTGTATATGCTATGTTTCTACTCCACCAAATCAGATCCATAAACATTAATGGATAATTTATACCTGTAAGAACTGGATTTCACTGTGTATCAAAGAATAGAGAGAATAATGAAACTGCAAAAAACAGGACAATTATAAACATAAGCCATATTTTAAACTGTGTAGGATAATGACCTGAGTGAGTAGTACAGAGGACCTTAGCTATGTGCCTACTAGGAATGTGTGAAATAACTAAGTACACAATGTCAGAAGAAAAAAATATTGGATTTATTCTATATGGTCTTGGGTAGAACTGTTTGGTTAGAAAAAAAAGCGCAAACTTTTAGTTCATTACAAAAATATGTGAACAGTGATACATAACGAATCATGATTATGTAACATTTAGATGACATCTAAATTCCTACTCACTCAACAAGTCAATGATGTGATGAATTTATGTGCTCCATTTCTTTTAGTCAAATGTCACAGCTCATTCAGAATGCCTCACAAACACATGGTGGTACTTCCTGAATGAATAGTCCTATGAAGAGAAGTTTAGTATTTTGGCCTAATCATCTTAAATGTTATTTATTCTTGTTATACATTTTTTACCTCTTCTTTCTCTCCTTGTACTCTCTGCCTTAGTGGTCTTTTCTTTTTATTATATGAAAATAAAATTATTTCTTAGCTAGTATTAGAAGGAAGTGTTGTTTTTTACCATATCAAATGGAAATCTTTAAAAATGTAAAGACCAAAATCCTTCGATGCTGATAGCCATGTCTGGTTTTGTCTTGTTTATTTTTGATACTTTCTCCTACTTTTCTATATAGTTCCTTCTACCTTCAGCTCCTATTACAGCTACTTGACCAGTTGATCATAGAATCAGATCACATCATGCAATGGACATAAGTTATGACCTGTCACGCATCTGTTTATAGGTTGTTTTACTATTCTTGTTATAATGTCACTTAAGACATAACATCATTGCCTACTATTGCTCCTTGTTGCATCTTAAGACAAATAATTTATAATACTACCAGGTTTATTAGGGGTAGAAAAGCTGTATGGCAGGTAACAAATGTTTGAATTGTCATACTAAACAGTTCTATAAAAGTTTTGAGCCTTAGTGTTCTTATTTCTGTGAATTTAAGATTATGTTCTAATTTAAATTTTTATTTCATCATTATATTAGTAATATATCACTGACTACTAATAAGACATAGACATCAAATTCCCCTTTGTTTTTTGAATAATTAGCAATATTGTGTAGTACTCAACTACATACCAAATATTTATTGAATGAATAAATTTGTTAATAACGATGAAGCTTGTGGTGGAACACAAATAACCAAATATTAAGTGAATGAGCACATTATAAAATAGTACATATGTAAGATTTCATTTTGGGTAAAATCAAGAAAACAAATAAATATTAAAATATGTATGGAAAACAGTGAAAGAATATATTTAAAAAATTTGTCCTCAGTGGTTCAGCCGCCTGACTCACAAGCACAAGGATCCAAGTTCGATCCCCGGTACCAAAAAAAAAAAAATTTGTCAGTATGGTTTCAGTTTACTTTCACTTTCTGTGCTATGTATTTGCGTAATTTAAAATCTTATAATTTAGGATTGTGATTTTGATATATATTTATATCACATTATAATAATCTAATTATTTTTATAATTTTAAGATTTCTTACAGTCCATGAAAAGTCTCCTTACGAATCACCTGTATATTATGTTTGTGTTTTCGACCCTGCTGTACTTCAGTAGCCTTATTGGTGGCTTTACCTATGTTTTCAAATACATAGAGCAACAGTACGGTCAGTCAATATCTCAAGCTAACTTTCTCTTAGGTAAGACATATTGTTTACCTATTTGCTTGATAAGTCATGTTACTGAATCATTGTATTCCAAATGATACTTTACTGTGAATGTGATTTTATATTTTAGTAAATAATTCCCTTTTTTTTCCTTCTCAAATCTGTCAAGCTTGTGATAATATTATTTCTCTGCATTTGAAATTTCATCTCATGATATAGAAGTTCCTAAAGGAAAAAGTGCATATTGAATGAAACATTCACACATGACATCTGCATAATTAGATCTTATAATTTCATGCTGAGATCCTAAGATAAATTGTTTTGTAATGTTAACATTATAATTCTATAATTCATATAGTTTAAAATCGACTCAGCTTCTTATAAAAAAGATGAGACACTGCTGTTTCCAAAAGGAAGAAACAATTTAAAGACACCATTAAAATATGACTCATTGAAGACAAATGTCATAAAATAAAGAATAGTTATACTAAAATACATATTTCCATTGGCACATGGAGACCTGCTTGTTTTTATTAATTTTTTTATTTTTTAACTTTTATTAATGTGTGTTTTCAGTACATAATGATTATATTCATCATGGAAAGTTGGCACATACATATAACACATCTTGATTCTTTTTGCATCCCCTTCCCTGCCCCTCCCTCCATCACTTTGAGATCTGCTTATAAAGGAAAAGTTTTCTTACATCATTATTATCACAACTCTGATATTATGGAGTTATTGTAGATAATAAATAGTTGATGAATTAAAAAATCAAGTGGCATTTGATTAAATCATAAATGAAAAAGAAAAGAATAATTTGAAAATGAAGTTCCTAAACCACTATATCAGAATTCTAGATGATGGCATTGCTGAACTTAATAAAAATGGTTAAACTGTAAAGGTTAAGTTTTGACTCCCAATATCCAATCCAGAACTTTTTTTATTAGAAGAATCTTCCTCTTTAGTAACTCCTTCAGGAAAAGAAAACAGAAAACTTATAAAGGGGCTCAATCATTTTAAATACAGTATACAAACCAAGTTATTTATCTTATTGATGAATAAGGAACAAATACTAATTTAAGTTTTCAACTCTTAAGCACTGAGCAAATTTGGAGTGGGTTTTGAAGGCCAGAACTCTTCATTTTGAAAACTGTAAAGGATTTTAGATTACAGTGTCAAAGTCTTGTATGGGAAAAGTTGGTGTGTTGTTGTTATTTACCAGGAAAATATCCTTCATAGAAATCATATGTTTAGACACAACTGTTCTGTCATTGCTTTTTCCTACTGAGAAAATCAAACCCTCATCTTTGTAGGAAAAATGTTTTTTTAGACAGTGTCTTGCTACCTATTCCAGGCTAGCCTTGAACTCACTATGTAGCCCAGGATGGCCTTGAATTTGTGGTAATGCTTCTGCCTCAGCCTCTTGAGTGCTGGGATTACAAGCATGTGCCACCACACCCAGCTTTGTAGAGGAAATCATTTTTCTCTCTCCTGCGTATGACTCACTGGTCTTCTGTCTCCATTTTGGCCTGCCACTTTGCACCTCAGTAGTACAACTGGATATATTGGGTTGTTATATGTGATGCTCCATATGCAAAGGTACATCAGAAAAATCATATTTACGTATTACTATTTTCTTTTTTATTTCTAGGACTTATAATAATACCCTGTATGGCAACTGGAATGGTTTTAGGAGGATATCTTATTAAAAAGTTCAAATTGACCTTGGTTGGAATTGCCAAATTTTCAAGTTTTACTGCATTCTTGAGTTTAATATGCCAACTATTATATTTTGCTTTACTCTGTGATCGCAAGTCAGTTGCTGGCTTAACTTTGGCCTATGATGGGTTTGTATATATCATTGTATCAATTACATAGTATACTAACTATCCATGAAAAGACCGGAAAAATAGGAGAGAAAACAATTTTAACTAAACTTTCTTTTAGTTGAGAGAAATTTCAATTTACAAATTCTTAAAGTGTCCATTTCTTGGAACCTCAAAAAGGCTCTTTTTAAAATTTTTTCCTTAAAGGAAAGCTACATAGATTGTAAAAATAATAACTATCATTTCTAAGGTGCTTATAACAAATGATGGCTACTTTTTCTCCATTTTATAGATGTGAGAAGTAAGGAATAAAGTGATATACAGATTGTATGACTAGTAGTACCTTAACATGATCTATCTATTTTGGAATTTTTAACACAAAAACTTTTCATCTTAACACTACAATCTTGGATAGATCATGTGTGTAATAATGTAAATAACCTTCTCCATATGTAACTGAATAACATTTATCTACAATTCACTGTGATATTTAATAACTATAAAAGAACATTTCACTATAGTACATTACACTACATTCTTACGTTCTGTAAACTAATATTGTTTCTTCTGGTACTGTCTTCATTACAAGAATAATAAAGTATAAGGAGTATAATATCCTATACATAAGTGCATGTTAGAACCTTTAACTCTCCATTAATATCACCTAATGCCAAATATTCCTAATATTTCCATCTACCCCAAATCAAAGGCCAGACTCCTGTGCAATTTATGAGATGCAGCTAACAACTTGGTTAGGAAGGTTCACGTTCATGCAATAAGCAAAGATTCCTGGATCACAGTTCAGTAACCATGAGCATTAGTGCTACCTACTGTCGGCTCTGAGTTTTCCAACTCTGGATCCCCTGAGGTGTAAATCTTAAGTGTCACATCTTCCCACATTTTCTTAGCTAAACATCCCATTCTTAAAGGCATGACCACCTAATCTCGATTTATCTTCCTGCTTGCTTCTAATCCTCAGTGTTGTTGATAGTTTCCATCCATCATTGCCTCTTTAGTAAGCCAAAATATGTACAGGGCATCAAAACTTTAAATTTCAGAAGAGAAAACACCTTATCGATCACACAGCCAACCTTCCTTCCTTTATTAGTTGAGACCTAGGGAAACTGTAACTTGTTTGAAGTCACACATCTATCCATTGGTTCTCCCTGATTATGAAGCTAAGCTTTAGTCTACAGCCAGTGCCCTGAAAACAAGTCATGTGACAGTTGTGTATCATTTAACCATGGAGATAAGTTCTTTCAAATATGTTGTTTCATCATTGTATAAACACCATAGGGTGTACTCACTGGGACTAAGCAACAATGACACTAGATGATATAATCTTCTCAGACCACCATTATATATATAATGCATAATTGACTGAAACATTGTTATGTAGCACAGGACTGAATAATGACTTCACCACGTATTCAGAAGATTAATGGTGAGCCTTGTAATTCCAGCATTCCTGAAGCTCACACAGGAGGTTTCCAAGTTCAAGCCAAGCCTGGGCAATTTAACTACTTAATGAGAACCTGTCTCAAATTTTAAAAAAAAAATAAAAGGGAGCTGGGGATTTAGCTCAGTGGTTCCAGTGTCTGCCTCGCAAGCATAAGGTCCCGAGTTCGATCCCCCGTACCAAAAAAATTAATTAATTAATTAATTAATTAAATAAAAGGGGCTGGGGATATAGTTCAGCACCACATTAATGAAAAAAGATTATGTCAAGAATTCTATGGTACTTGTCAATAAAATTTTACTTGCTGCCTCCAAAAGTGAATATCCTCAATTATTATCATAAGATTTTTATAAAGACAAAAGAATAATTTCTGAAATTGATAGTCAGATAATTAATTATATAAGTATTATATATTTTGAAAGCTTAGCCATATAACACAATTTTTATAACAAGCATGTTATAATTTGTAAGTGTATAGTATTATAAAGCAAAGCCTTATAAAAAATAAAGTGATTTCATTTTTAAAGTGTATGGAGACAAAAAAAGAATTTCTCAACTGATGCTTATTCATCAAAATTTTTCCTTGGTTGTTCTGCTTTGATCATGTTAAATTCTTTTCTTATGTAAGTAAAATATAGATTTTAAAATTCAGCCTAGTTAAATAACATGTATAGATTGGCATATCATAACAGTAATCTTGGAGGATTGTCAGTCTGATAACACTATCTAACTTTAGAAAAAGTGATCCTCAGAAAAATGAAATGACTGAATTAATGTGAATTTCCTAATTGAATTACTAAGTGCTCTTGTCTAAGACTTATATACCCTCCCTTGTTTCCTGTTACAAATATTTCTTTTTCTATTCATTTTGTGATAAAGATGGAAGGTGAGAAGTGAATAAACATTAAACACTTTGTCAATTGGCAACAGTACGTTAAATTTCTCTAACTAAAAGAAAACTGTCTCTACTATCTCTTCTATTTTTCTCTTCCCTTTTCTTTTTTCTTTTCTTCTCTTTTCTCTTTTACCCTTCTCCTCTCCCTACTGCCTGACTTCTCTTTCATTTCTTTCTTATTTTTGATATATCTATCATATATTTGCAGAACTACTTCAGAATTACCTTTCTCTTTTTTTCTTTGACACATCTTTCATATATTTCCAGAATTAATCCAGTGGCATCTCATGCAAATGCACCACTGTCTTATTGCAACTCAGGTTGCAATTGTGATGAAACTCAATGGGAGCCAGTCTGTGGGAACAATGGAATAACTTACCTGTCACCTTGCCTAGCAGGATGCACATCTGTAGGTGACAATGAAAAGCCTACTGTAAGTATTAGTGTTACTTTCTGTCCCCTCTTTAATCAAGATCATATATTACACTTAATAATCACTTATCAAATCTTTCTATAACTAATGCACCCAGTAAAATGATACGTGAAAAAGATTCCAATATTTTCTGTCATTGTGATGACTGTAAAATTGTATACACAAAGCTTCATATCAAATCCTACTTGGACGACAATCAGGTTTTACGGCCACTTGAATTCTAATTTGAGATTGCATCATTTTTTCCCTTAAGATTGTAAGAATGAGACCTTTTGGATATGAATTACTTAAAATCCCTAGGAAGCATCTAATTTGACTAAAGCTATAATTTCCATTGTATTGGAATTACTTTGCCCTTCAGAAGAGAGAAGAAAGCCCGAGTCAGTCCACTGTCAGCACTATCTGCCTCACTAGGACAACAATCTATATAGAAATGTGTATACAAAACAATCTATATGTAATTTTGAATATGGATTCTGATGGGTTTACCTCTAGGCTCAGCATCCTTTTGACTTTCCAAAAAATAATCAAATCTTCACGCTCATGTCACTGACCAATTCTTGTCTTCCAATTCTGATTTCCACAAAGCTGCCACTGCTCCTACCTAGGATTATTGAGTATATTGCTCACATCTTGCCAACATAATCCATAAAAATGACATTTTTTCTTTATTTAAAACATTTCTTTCCATATGAGCTGTGCATTCTCCCCAGTTTACTGGGTAATTCCCAATAGTTGATCGTTTATAGCCTTTCCCATGCTTCTTATCCACTCATCATCTCACAAATTAGAGTACTGATTTCCTGGGTCCTTTTTCTATTATCAACATAAGAAATTCTTTGAGCTATAATCATTGCTCTCAGCCACCCCTTTCCATGCTTGATGTTCAAATATTTTTCATCATCCTCTTGCTTATAATTATGCCTATTGTGCTGTGGAAAAGCATAATGAACTTTGAAGGACAAAGCAGCCTAGATTCTCTGAAACTGGGCCAGTACTTTAATAAATGTACAATTATGACCTGAAGACTTTCCTTAAAAGCCCACACATCACCTTCATGTCTATTTTGCCTTCTCTAAGAGTGCCCCCATCTAATCCATGGTCCTACTTTTTTCAATGATGAAGTCCTGGAGGAGACATGATATTAGAATCTTCAAGAGGATTCTGGCTACCATGGTTACATCAATTACTAAATAATTTGCATCTATTGCAAAGTTCTTTTATGAAGTCCTTAGTAATAAACTATCTTTTCTGTAATGAACTTATTTGTACCAAAATATGGTGGGGCTTTTTGGCTAATATTTTTCTCCATGTTATTCCTAGTTGGGAAAGAAAAAAATTTAGAAAATACATCTTCATAGAATCATACAAGTATGGATTCAAACTCTTCCTCAATTCCTCCTCCAGTTATTCAACTTGAGCATTAATAAAAATCCATAAAACTTTAGCCTAAATTAGAAAAGAATTTATTAAAGGCACCTATCCATGCAATCTATCTGCTGGATTAACTCTCTAAAATTAGATGTTCTTAAATTTTCGATTTTTTGTGCTTTGTTGGTCAGGACATTCTGTTGTGTTGAATTTATCTGGCAATAACAACATCTACTGTATTTGTCATTATACTCTTGTATGTTATTTTGCTTGCCCAAATAAAATTGCAGCACATCTGCCTGGCTCCATTTCCCCTAGACTCTATCTCATTCTGTATCTCTAGTTGCAGATTTGGGCCCCTTCCAATGTGTTGTATTGCTGAACTCTGTCTATTTTCTGCACAGGCTATGTCTCTGACATTTGGTATAGATTGTTAAATACAGCAGGTAAGGGTATTACAGAAAGTAAAAGTGGGTGGAGTAAAAGTACTCAAAAGAATTTACATACAAGTAGAAACTTATACAGTTTCAAACACGAATTTCTTCAACTATTTCCTAACTTTAAAGCTAGAAATGAATTTAATATTAATAGTAAATTATGTTTTGTCTAAAAATGAATCCAGGAAACTATTTTGCCTTTAAACTATTAAGAAACTGTATTTTTAGAAATTTTTAAAACTGTAAATCTTTTGATTTCAGTGAGTGACACTTCTTTGGATATATGGAATGTATTTACAGCACTGTCATATTTTCCAAATGTATGCTGTAATATTTCAAAAACTCTTTTTAGGTATTCTACAACTGTAGTTGTCTTGAAGTTTCTGGTTTCAAGAGCATGAATTATTCTGCCCGTTTGGGTGAATGCCCAAGAGATAATCCTTGTAGAAAGAAACATTATTTTTATATAGGTGTACAAGTCATGGATGCTTTTTTCTCTGCGTTGGGAGCCACTTCATTTATCTTGTTGCTTGTAAAGTGAGTATGAAATTTCATGTGTACTAGACTATAATCTTACCTAATGATAAACATATTTTTCACAATATATTTGGGGCCCAAGTTCATATCTTCTTATATTTTAATTATCTGAGAATATATCTTCTTAGCATTATTGTGATACTTTGAGGCCATAATTAATAACAGTTTTCCCTCTGATTCTTTCTTTATGGAATTTAGATTTCATACTTTCTACTCTTGCTAAGAATCAAGACACAGACTGACAACTGCCTCAATTTTAAAAGAATATCTCTATGATTCACGAAAAAACTTAATTTTCAGTCGTCTTGCACCCTATAGGGCTATCAGGGTGAGATATTGGTTGATTTAATTGAAAGAAAACATTTGTGCATCAGATCTAAATGTAACCTCAGTCAATAATAACATTCCAATGTTTTCAATTGACACACAGAAAAGCTTTTGATCTAGTCTCTCAAAGTAGTCCATAGATAACCAGAAAAATATATGAAAAGATTTTATTTCTTTCTTAACTTATTAGACAAACATTTGGACAAGATACCATGCTTGATGAAGAATATTTCATGGTAAATAAAACAGATAAGGTATCTTTTGCCACGTATCTTAGAGTACAGCAAAAAAACTGACATAAAACAAATAAGTTTAAAAATAAACATACTTATAAAATGTTCTTAGTACTAATCAGAAAAAGGTTGTCATTAAAGGGAATAAACAGGAAAGCTTAATTTAGGATAGAGGTGAGGGGCTGCAAAGGAGAGGACTCAGAGTATTTCTCAAAAGAAATCACATTTGATTTAAAGATTAAGGAACCAAATGAAGTGATGTTCAGGGGAAGGTTCTAGATGGCATGTCTGCAGGCAGGGATAAGCTAATGCATTCAAGGCATGGAAACAAGCAGTTTGGTTGGAAGGCACTGAGATGGGTGTGACACAGATCGCAGATAAGGCTGGAGAGCTAGAGGAGGAATGGGTCACACAAACTCCATGGTGAAGTTAATCATTCAATCCAGTAAAATAGAAAACATACAAATTTGCATGTAGATCTTGAAAAATGCACACATGTAAGTATGGTGACCTGGTTATCATCTGTTTATTCATTTAAAACCCACATGGGGCAGGGATTTAGCTCAGTGGTTCCACATCCGCATCCTGTCTCTCAAGCGCAAGGACCTGAGTTCGATCCCCAGTAGCAAAAATAAAAATAAAACCTACATAGCTGATTACCAGTTTACTATTGGCTAACAAATTACTTATCTTGTTACTTCACAGACATAGCTAGTTCCACCTTAATATAAAATGTTGTCTCCTCAGAAGTAGAGACTTTCCTTATTGCCAAATTACAGACTAAGTTACAAAAACAATCATCTCAGTTCTACTGGTTTTCATCTCAATGGGTTTTAGCTTCTTAAATTAAACTCTTACGAGAGTTTTAGAAGATACTGTTCTATCAGGGATGATAGTTACTTTCATCTTGTTAAAAAGTGATTAAACCAACTTGTGAAAAAGTTTGCTAACTTCTTGCCAACATTTGATTTTAGGAAAAAAAAACTTTTTTGAAACTGATTATAGAATAAAAATATACACTTGAGTTTATTAATGATTTTCAATGTGATAAACCTTCATTTAGCTTCTGTGTGTAAATGGGTGGGGAGGGGTGGATGCATGTGGGAGAAAAGTACACAAGCAACAAATATGTGAAAGGAGGTAAATATTGCACAGTAGAAAGAAAAATAAAACACAGTAAGAAAATAGAAAAGATGAAGGGCCAGGTAAGCAGTACTAATTTGAAAGTGCCCTGAAAGTTATTTGGACAAGAGTCTGAAGAGCCCTGTGGAGTTCAGGCTTGTTGGAGCTGGTGTATTATAGGGAATGCATTTAAAGTTAGGAGGTGGTCATGAAGAGGGGAATCCTCACAACTGAGATTTAGAGAAGTGTGTACTGAGTGGTATAACTGTGGACTGGAGGTGATAGATAAGATCTTTGAAGAGGTCAAGATACTGGACAGCCACAGCATTGGGAGGATGGTCCTTGTGGATATTAAAATAATCAGAAAAAGTGGCAGAGATAGTTTTAGGAAAAATGACAGAGAGCCTAGAGCTACAGTCACTAAAGAATGATGGATTGGATCGGTGATGGGTGACTCTGCAGATGACTTCAGCAAGGAAGCTTGGGAATGGAATATTTGGGTAGCACACTCTTCAGGGGAGCTGGAAGTCTCTTAGAGGGAGAACTTGGATCTGAAAGTGTTAAAAAAAAAAAGATGATGAAGAAGAAGAAAACCTCTATTTTTCAAGATGTGGGAAAAAACAGCCATCACTTAAGAGAGTGGTATGGAAAGAGGGTCGTGGGGAGACAGCCAGAGTTTATCTAGAACAAGAAAACTGAAAGACTGTAAAGAATGTAGGATCAATAGATGTGGCTGGGAGTAGTCTAGGAATTCCAGAGGGCAAAGTGGAAGGGTGTGAGTGATGGAAAAGTAGTAGGATACTGCGTGGAATTAGGAATGTAGTAAATCACGGGAGGCTCAAAGCCATGGTGTTTAGAGGTGATCTCAAATCCTTGGATTCTGGTGGTAACTGAGGGATGTGAGGTAGGAGCTAAGCTTTGACTAAGAAAATACTAATTCAAAATGGCCCCAAAGAAGGCAGTATTTTACTTTATTTCTTTTGTTTTGTTTTTAACTTACAATTTAATCATTTGGATCAGCTTGGAAACAAGCAGTGCTTCTCTTCTATGTTTTTCAAACAGAAAGCCCAGCATTCCTTATAGGTTTCTAGGTCTTGCCCTTAATCCTCTCAGAAACAATGGGTCCTGATGCCCACTTGTAATTAGCAAGAACAATTCAAATTAAATTCAAATCAATTCAATTTAAATTTAAATTAAATTAATTTTTAAATAAATGAACAAAAATAACACATTTAGCTTCTTGAAGTGCTCATCAAAATCCTGAGTAGCTCAACAGCAGATGTGAGGTGGAGTCGAACTGCAGGGATAATGGGTAATGGGTGCACATAAGTGTGTATGTGATTATGGGAGATGAGCACGATCATGTGGCTGGGTGTGGGTGTGCATGCATGTGAATGCAACACTATGTGATTGTTCTTGTATGTGTGTCACTAGATCACACACATCTACCATTTCCACTGAGTTGGTGAAGGTTTCAAGCCCCCTTCCAGGAGAATATTAACCCTACCTGCTAATCCTCCCAGTTCACTGGAATTCGGGTCCTCTCCCTGAGGGAAGAGAGATGATGGTGAATATCGGTTTGCCTCTTGTGTTTCTGGTGTGTAACACAGTTGCACCCTTTGAAAATCAATAGCAGTGGACATGGCACTTCAGGCACTTGTGAGAGAGTTAAAGCTGGCCTGAACTGTGGTCTCTCCCTTAGGAAATGTGATATTTTAGAGAGAGATTTCAATGGAAAAGTTAACATCCCCTTTCTGCTGATTTCCCATCTCCCTCATGGTAGGATCCACCTCCTCACACTTAGGTGCAACGTTGTGCCCTCAGCTGACAGAGTGGAGGCTCAGAGCCCAAAATATCTTCTTTTCTAATGCATGACTATGCTATGTTTAATTTTTATGATGCTACGTTTAATTTAATCTTGCCATGTGCAATTTTATAAGTTCTTTTAAATTGTTTTTTGTTTGCTTGCTTTTTTTTTTTTTTGATTTGTTGTTGTAATTGTTGCTATTTAAAAAAAGTGTCTCACTATTGCCCAAGCTCTTCTCAAACTCCTGAGATCAAATGATCCTCCTCCCTCAGCCTCCTGAAGAGCTGGGACTGTGGCATGCACCACCAAACCTGACTTTCTCAAATATTTTTGAGATTCTCAATAAATGGTGGCTTTTCCACAAGGATTAAGGGGCAACTAACTGCATGTAAAGAAAATTGAAATTTAATGTTCTATCTCTTTGTATTGGATTCTCATAAAATAAGAGATAAGCTGTCTTTACCTCACTTAGCAAATAAGGAAACTGAGGCTAAGAAAAGTTAACTGTCTTCTCCAAGTTTCTTAGTTGATATGGAGCATCCTTTATCACTTTGTTCTCAAGAAAAAGCATAGCATCTTCCAGGAAGTGCTTTATGAATGTTCTTTGAGTGATCATAACAACTTAGCTCTCTGAACAAATAGTCACCAACTAGTTCAAGTCAAAGAACACAACATTTGTATCATTCGATTCAGTCTTTCAGTAAATGTGGTTTTCCTGAGCCATAAAGACTTTCCCCAGGCCAGATAGTTTTATTTCACTTGGTATGCATTAGCTTATCACAGGGCTAGTGCTGTCCCTAACTCACTGAAAACAGAGAAAGATGGAATTGTGGGAATAACTTTCTAAATGCAAGAAAGAGTAAATTCTAAGTGAGGATATAAATGTGCTCTTACCTTTAAGGTGACAGTTGCATATACTGGTTGTCGGAATACAGATTTTTTTTACTCTTATCATATTACATAATTTGTGATACATAGTAATAAATGTTTTTGTTGACATCAGAGACAGAATGAAGCTAGGGGAAGGGGTTAGATAAATATCTGCTCTTTTCCTGTGGGTTGTGTCCACTGAATCTCTCACATGAGATCAGTGTCTTTTATGGGCACCACAAAGCCGATTATAGTCATATTCTCACGGGATTGTAATAAGGGTCTGATTTGAAAGTGATTGCTAAGCTATCTTGAAATTAAACCACATTGAATAGGGAATAATTATTATTGCTCAAATATGTACCTGTTTTTTAAAAAACTGAAAATAATAGCATTTTATAAGGCAGGTCTTCCACTTGGGGATTTACACTCAAGCATGAAGAAAAATGACACAAGAATGTTTTAATACTGAACTCAATTTGGTATTTTAAAGATGTTGAATGTTTCTTTTTTTTGTCTTATTTCAGGAATGTTCTACCTGAATTAAAATCACTTGCAATGGGTTTCCATTCACTGGTTATACGAACGTTAGGTATGTGAAATTTTTTTTAATCCAGGATATAAATATTCATGTCATAGCTCAAAACCTGAGTAAGATTAATTTCTGACTCTAAGAAACCTTAAGAAAAGTGTAAACAATCATCGTTTGGTTTAGTGGTAAATGAAAGGAAAACTGAGTGACCTAAAAGAGAACTTGAAGTCAATCTGTTAAGACCAGGGGGTCATTGTATTTGTATCACATGGTATAATACAAAGCTAGGCTGTCCCCAGAGATTTTTACTTAGGGATATTTACTCTAGGTGGGAAAAGTGAAGGCCTTTGACCTAAATTAAGACATTATGTGGGTAATGCCAGAATCAGGTTGGAAGTTCTGGGGATTTGAAAGCTGAGGTGTGGAAAACAAAACTTGATAATATCTGCTCAGATCCCCACTGCTGAGTCCTGTGAGGCCGGGTAGCTTCTTTACCAGAAGTTAAGGTGCAAAAGGGAACGAGAACCCAAACTCCTCTGAAATTAGGCATCTTGGACTGCAAACATCTAGATGAACAGTCTTAAGATGTTCTGATATGTATTGGCAAAGAGTAGAACTATAAATTTCAGATGTTAAAGGCCTATTTCTAAATATTCAAGTAAGTTGATTTTTCAGAGATTTAGGAAATCATCCTCTGTCACTTATTGCCACTTTTGACCCTAGATGTCTCTTGTTATGTTGTTATTTTATTTTTTTAAACAAAAGGTAGGTGTTATTTGGAGTATTTCTTTCTTTTATTTATTTTTGAGGGTGTTGAAATGAGGTCTCACTATGTAGTTCAGGCTGGACTTTAACTCACTATGTAGCTCAGGCTGGCCTTGAACTCATAGTGATCCTCTTGCCTGAGCCTCGTAAGTGCTGGGATGACAGGCATGCTCCACCATGACTGCAAAAAAAATGGTTTTTGCACTATTGGGGAATTTAACCCAGGACTTTGTATGTGCTAGGCAAACATTCTGTCCTGTTATTTTAAAAATGTCTACCCCTGTGGTTATGTATGCCTTTGTGACATTTACAAATGGCATACATTTATGCCTAGAAAAGGGGGATCCTTCAACTAGGGACTTGGAAAAGAGCTGATCCTGGACCAGAGGCCACCACTGATGGTAAAAGGAAAAGGATGGGGTGTGGGGTCCCTGGAACCTCTGGAAGCCAAGAAAAGGAGCATAAGACTGTGGCCAAATTATAGTGGAAAACTTACCAGGAGGTGCATTTGAGGGAAATGTCACAGGTCCTCAAAGGTGGAAGGAACTGCAGGGAATGGCAGGAGGAGAAGATGGAGGCGCTGTGGATTCCACTCCAGTCCTCTGCCTGGCATTCCTGCTGTGCATCTCTGCCACCTCTGTGCCTCCTAGCCATTCCCTCCCTCCAGGCCCAGCAGAGGCACTGCCCTCCTGGAACCACAGAAGTCTAACCTAGAATCTGGGTGGTTAGTACTCCTTCTCATGCTGACATGAGACTCTCAAAATAGAAGAAATTCTTCCAGCACATAAAATAGAAAAAGTAGGAATTTCGCAACCCTAACTGTAAATTGTAATCTGCCATTGTACTTGTATTTGATTGTCCAATACATGGTTCAGTGAAACCTAAGTGCTTCTATGAGAAAAAATACATACAAAGTACCAGACTTGCAATTCATAAACAATTGTCTTAAATAGAATATAGGTTTAAATTATGAAAGGCCTTTATAGCTCATTAAATTTAAAAAGTTTAGGCTAGGCATGGTGGCGCATGCCTGTAATCCCAGCACTTGGGAGGCTGAGGCAGGAGGATGCTGCATGTTTGAAGATAGCCTGGGTTACATAGTGAGTTCAAGACCACCCTGAACTACAAAGCAAGACCCTGCCTCAAAAAAAAGTTTAGAAAATAAGTCATTAAAAAATTTTAGATTCCTGTACTGATTAAAACCAATTTTTTCCTCAAACTTTAGTTTTTTAATGCTTATTCACATCAGTGGCATCAGGTCTGGCATATATTTTTCATCTCTCAGAAGGTGGCTGTAATTTTTCCAAACCTGCAATTTTCTCACCCAATTTTCTCAGCACTACTTTTCCTCAGGTAGCTTGTCTTTAGATATTAGCCCTTTATCGTTTTAAGATTTCTATCAGAAATGAGATTCTGATTCAAGGCAATGGAATCAATAAAAATGTGATATAGTGGGCTGCGGATGTAGCTCAGTGGCATTGCACCTGCCTGGCAAGCCCAAGGTCCTGAGTGCAAGCCCCCGTCGCGGGTGGGGTGGGAAGTGATATATGAACCATTGACATTCTTCATGACAAAATTCTAGAAATCATTCACCAAACTTAAAAAATAAAAGTAAAATCTTCAGGACTCAGTTCTATCATCTGAAGGATAGAGCTCTACTAGCACATTCCACAAACTTTTTGTCAAATTACTGATGCATAGAATGGACTCAGTTTCAGAGTTTGTTAAAATAGCAGATGGACGTTTCTGTTATAAACAGTGTTAAGTGCTCCTCACATACCTTGTGTTTTACAAAATTATTTACTACAATTCAAATTTGGTGAGAACCATACCAGTGAAGACATGCATCTTTGTGATCAGAATACAAACAGAAACAAAGTTTAACAGCATGGGCCTGATTCCCCAGACCACTTCATGAGGTATTTGAAATGCCCAAATCAGCAGAGAAAGAATACTGTTTTGTAGGCTCTCATGACACCAGGAAAGAGAAAGTGAGCTTTGAGCCCAGAAACAAAGACAAAATGGCAGAAACTGGGCATTCTGTGAAGATAGGCCTTCTGGTTCTGAGGGAGTTCCCGTGTAAGCTTTGCTTTTTTCATTTTCTTAAAGTTGAGTTGAAAGAACTCCTGACTTTGAATTAGTTGAGCTGAGTGCTTTTCCCATTCCAAATAAATTACAATTCTACTCTCACTATTACAGCTTTTCTTTCCTGAGAAAAATCACATATGAGCCAACATAACTTCCATGTTTTACTAACAGCACTATCCATTTACTTATCAGCTTTCAGCTGATCACTATTACCTTAATTCAGAGTTTACAGACACACAATGTTCCTTCTTAGGTGCGTTGGGAGGATGAGGGCAGATAAACTATGTCTCCGACATCACTGTATCGTGGGACCTTTTGAGATTTCTAATAACCTTGATTCTTGTATCTATTTAGGCCATAACAAAGGAAGAAGATTCCAAAATTCTCAGTTTTTCTTGTTGTGTTATATGTCAGTATAGAATGGCACCCAGTTACACTGGAAATGGGTTCCTTGGATTGATAGCTTCTTGTCTCATGTTGCAGGAGGGATTCTAGCTCCAGTTTATTTTGGGGCCATGATTGATAGAACGTGTATGAAGTGGTCCACTACCAGCTGTGGGACACAAGGTGCCTGTAGGATATATAATTCAATATCATTTGGGTAAGTTGTCAAATATGTATTATATTAGTTTATTTTTCCTTTGACTGTATTAATTCCTAAAGGATAACATTTTCAGTATAATTTAGTATTCTATCAAGCAATCTGTCATTTTGGGGGAAAATTCATAGGATCTGTAGCAAATGGACGTTGTATCTTTTTTCTCTTAAATGTGAATAAATTAAGATGCAAGTGTAGCAAGTAATTTGTCCAAACTTATATAACTAAAAGAAAAAAGAGCTAGAATTTTGCTCAAATCTTTTTTGTTTCCAAAAATTATCTTCATACCAAAAAACTCTCATTGTATTTTTTGGAGGAAAAAAGATCTATATAGGTAGCTTTTTGTTTGTTTGTCTGTTTGTTTGTTTTTGGTACCGGGGCTCTAACTTGGGACCTTGCACTTGTGTGGCAGGTTCCAGAACCACTGAGCTAAATCCCCAGCCCATATATTTTTATTTCTTATAGCTCCTCTAAGAAGACATATGCAGTCTGATCACAAGACACAGTGTATTTTAAAATTTTTTAAATGTATTTCATTAACGACAGTTGCCATTAATCCCCCTTAAAATATTCCCCTTTGCTTCCGATACACTCATCCCATCATTCTTGTCACTTTCTGATGCAGTTCTGGAAGTTCTCCTTCTTGAGTATCTTCAGTTCCCCATTGTGTCTGCCTCAGTGTTCTGAGTCCATATGTTTATTTCAACCTTATATTAAAACACATGTTTACATGATATAGAATTCTAAACTGGCAATTGTTTTCGTTTGACACATTGAAGCCATCATTATATTGTTTTCCAATATTCATATTTCTATTGCTAAGGTAGCTGTTGACTATTTCTCTTATTCTTTTAAGGTAATCGGTCTTTTCCATGTGGCTTCTTTAAATAAATATCTTCTCTTTAGGTTTAGTATTCAGCAGTTTCACCATAGAGTACTTAGGTGTGGACTACTTATTTATCCTGACTTAGAATCAGTGAACTTCTAAAATCTATGGATCTGTGTCTGTGTTGTGCACAACAATGGCTCCTCAAAAATGCCTGTGTCATAATTGCAAATTCGGTAAAGGTTTAAGGCAGAATAAAGTTGCTCATCAGCTGACCTCAAGACAGGAAGATTATCAGTTAGGGTCTAAGGTAAACATAGGATCTTTAAAAATAGGAGAGGAAGGCAGAAGATGAGGTCAGAGTAATGCAGTGTGGAAGGACTCAGGCCATTGTCACTGTCTTTGAAGATAGGATGAAAGGGCCAGGAGCCATGGAATGCAGGTAGCCTCTAGAAGCAGGGAAACAGATTCTTGGCTGTAGCTTCCAGCTTCCTCATAAAGATCTTCTACATATTTTATTAGATTTACACTGAGTATTTCATTTTGGAATTGCTAATGTAATTGGTAATATCCTTTAAATTTCAAGTTCCATTCATCCATTTCTGATTTATAGAAAACCATTTGACTTTGGTATATTAACATTTGATATATCCTACAGTCTTGCTGTAATTATCTATTACTTCCAAAGGAGTTTCGCCTATTCTTTCAGACTTTTTACATAGATTACTAATCAGCAAAAAAGGACAAATTTTTCTTCTTTGCTAAACTATATACATTTTATTTGTTTCTTGTTGTTGTTGTTATTGTTTTTATCACAATGACTAAGACTTCCAGGTAAATATTGAGAAGCAGTGATAAGACGGAACTTCCTTGTGTAATTTGAATAGAAAGATTTGATTTCTTCACCATTAAGGTGATGTTAAGGAATGTTAGTTGAGGGTTTTATGTAGCTATTTCTAATCAAGTGAGGAAATTCTCCTATTTCTATGTTATTGAGAAGTTTTATCATGAACAGGAGTGAGTTTTGTCAAATGTATTTTCTGTATCTCCTGATGTGATTATGCAATTATTTTTCTTAACTTGGTGATGTAATGGATTATACTAATGGATTTTTTAATACTAATCTAGCCTTGCACAATGTCCCACACTGCCATAGTATTTACAGCGGACCCTTAACTTATGAACTGTATCGGTTCTGGAGGGTTGCCTATAACTAAGTCAATACAGCTGAGATCCGGATGTTTACCTGGGTACATGCTATAGGTAACAAGTGACAGATGCATCTTCCACTAACCTAATTAACCCAAGTTGTACATATGTCAGGCTGGTTATAACTTGAGGGTCCACTGTATTTTATAATAAATTGCTTGATTTAATTTGATGTTCTGTTGAAAATTCTTGCATCTATTATCACGAGAGATATTGGTCTGTACTTCCCTTGTAATGTTCTTGTCTGCTCTTGATAGTAGGCACTGTTGGCTTAATCCAGTGATATAGAAAGTGAGATTGTAGCAAATCAGTGTAACTTGACTCTTATCTGTTTGATAGAATTCAGCAGTGAATTCATATGAGCCTAATACATCTTGCTTTAGAAAGTAACTAATTATTATCGATTCTATTCTTTAATAGATATACTCTTATTCAGGTTGTCTATTTTTTCTTATATGAGTGTGGGTAGATTGTGGCTTTCAAGGAACTGGTTGATTTAATCTTGGTTATTAAAATTGTGGGCATAGCATTTTTCATAGTATTTCTTTAGTATGTTTTAATGTCTATAAAATCTGTAGTGATACAACCTCTTTCATTTGTGACATTAGTAATTTGTGTCTTTGTTTTTTTTGTTAGTTTGGCCAGAAGCTTATAAATTTTATTGAACTTTTCTGAAAAAATAGCATTGATTTGTCGCTTTTCTATATTGATATCTTGTTTTCAATTTCATTGATATTTGCTCTAATTTCCATTTGCTTATTTTTTCTTGCTTAATTTAGTTTTAATTTGCTCTTTTTATTTTAATTTCCTAAGGTAGAAATTTGGATAATTAATTTTGAGTCTTTCTTCTCAAATATATGCATTGAACACTATAATTTTTCCTCTAAGCACTGCTTTTGCTGTATCTCATAAATTTTGGAAAGTTATGTTTTCATTTTTATTTAATTAAAATGTTAAACTTCTTAAGAGATGTCTTTTTGATCCATGTGTAATTTAGAAATATTTTATCTCCACATTATTTTGCAGTTTTTTCTAATAATCCTTTTGTTATTGATTTCTGGTTAATTCCATATTACTTAAGAGCATATACTGTATGATTTCTATTCTTTTACACTGGTAAAGTATGTATTATGGCTCATAGCATGGTCTGTCTTGGCAAATGCACCATTTGAGCTTAGAATTTGCATACTATTCTATTGCTGTTGAATTAGTTTATAGGAATCTATTGTATTCTGTAAATTGATAGTACTATTGAGTTCAACTAGGTCTTTACTGATTTTTGCATACTAGTTATGTCTATTTCTAAGTCGCCAACAATAATAGTGCATTCATCTGTTTCTATTTGCAATTCTATCAATTTTTATTTACATGTTTTGATGCCTGGTTTTGAGGCACTTTAAAGTAAGAATTGTGATGTCTCCTTAAATGATAACAAGAGAACTGACCATTTTATCATTGTCTAAGGGTTTTTTAAATCCCTGATAAATTTTTTTGCTTTGAAGTGTGTTCTGTTTGAAATTTAATATAGCCATTCACACTTTCTTTTATTAGCATTAGCATGATGTATCTTAATCCAATTACTTTGACTTGTACAAGTCTTTATATTTAAAGTGGATTTTGTGTAGACTTCACATAGTTTGGTCTTATTTTTTACCTTCTAATAATTTTTATCCTTTAGTTAATATATTTAGATAACTGAAATTCAAAATGATTACTATTAATAATATTACTAGTAATAGTAATATTACTATTAATATAGTTGGATTAATATCTACCATATTTTTACTTTTTTCTATTTCTTGTTCTTCCTATTTTATCTTCAACTCTTTTTTTGCCTATACTAGTTTTTTTTTTTTTTTTTAGTACCTGGGATCGAACTCGGGTCCTTGTGCTTGCACAGCAGGCGGCGAAACCAGCCTATAGTAGTTTTAATTAAGAATTTTATATAATTCCATTTTTCTACTTTGTTAGCATATCAGTACATAATTGTACATAATTTTACAAAATTTCAGTGCTTTCCCTATAGTTTATAATGTATATTTATAACCAATCTAAATTCACTTTCCAATGTATTATGCCACTCATTTACAACAGCATATAACCATAATTCTTATTTTCTGCCCTTTTTCTAATTGTTGTCATATATTTTATGTATATATAAACATTCATAAGCATATTCATATGTATAATAAACACATCATTGCAATTATTTTGAACTCATATCATAGATACATTAAGAACAGAAAAATACATTTTCTTTTACTTTATTTCTTTTATGATGTTCTTCTATCCTTTCTATGGAACTAAGTTTCTCACTTATAGATGCCCTTTGATATACAATGGGGTTATGTACTGATAAAACTCATTATAAGCTGAAAACAGTGTTAGTTGAAAATGTATTTAATACACTTTAACTGGCCTACCAAACATCATAGCTTTGAGTAGCTTACCTTAAATGTGCTAAGAACGCTTACACTAGACTACAGATGAGCAAAACCATCTAAAACCAAGCCAATTTTATCATAAATTGTGGAATATCTTGTGCACATACACAGTGAGACTACAGCTAATCATAACATTTTCAAACTACAGAAGATTGAAACTGAAGAAAAAATATTGAAAGAATAACCCCTTCCCTGTAGAGGAGCAACAGATTACATTTGACTTCTTCCCCAGAAGCCATCCAAGCAAGATGAAAATGAGTGAAACATTCACAGTGTGCATGGGTGGCACTTTTGTAGACAAGATGGGATGTGAAAATAGTAAACACAGTATCCAAAAAGTGTAGCAACACAGTGTGCTGTAAAGTATGGGTGGCATACGGTGTGACGGTGGCCGACTGGAAGTTGCAGCTTGTGGCTGCTGTCCAGGATTCTGAGAGTGTCACACCACTTACCACTAGTCCAGGAAATATTCAGCATCTAAAGTACAGCTTCTACTCAATACACGCAGCTTTAGCATCATTGTAAAGGTGACAAATTGTCAATCAAACTACGTAAATTGAGGTCCAAAGAACTTCATTTAATATTTTAAGCTTTGTTCATCAATTAGGAATGTCCTTTCTTCTTCTTTGTTTTCTTTAAAAAAACAACAACAACAAAACAAAACAGGATCTCTATATTTCCAGGCTGGTCTCAAACTTTTGAGCTAAACTGATCCTACTGTATCAGCCTCCCCAGGAACTGGGATGACAGGAGTGCACCATAGGCCCTGGCTTTCTGCTTTACTTTAAAGGATTATTTCACACGGCACAGAATTTTTATTGAACTTCTTTTTCTGAACCCTGCAAATGTTTCACTCCACCTTCTTTCCCTGGTTCCTGAAGAGAAGATGAATATCATCTTTTGCTCCTTTATAAGTAGCCTCGCCTGATTTCTTTCAGGATGTTTTTCTTTATATTTTTTTATTTTCTATGTTTTAAAAATGATGCAGTTAGCTATATTTTTCTGGCATTTATTCTTCCTTGTGTCCACGGAGTGTAGTAGATCGGTGAATTAGTGTCTGGCACTATTTAGGGACAATTATTAGCCAATATTATTTTGAAATTTTTATGGTTTCTTTCTACTTTCTTCTTTCTGGTGTTCAGATCACACATATTTTTGCAGCTCTTCCAAAGTTCCTAAATATTCTGGTTTGTTTTTCAATCTTTTTTCTCTTTGCTTTTCGATTTTGGAGTGAGTTTCTACTGAGATATTTGAAACTCAGATTCCTGCATTTTTTTCATAGTTACTGATCTCTAACCTTGCTCTGTATCTCAAGATTTCCATCACTATGCTGTCATTGCCCACCTATCCCTGTATATTGTCTGTTATCCATTAGATCCCTTAGCATGTTAAGGATAGTTGCTTCAAATTTCCATTCTAGTAATAGCATCATATCTAAGTCTGCTCTTAGGCTTTCTCATGCGCTTCAAATCTTTTTTTTTTCCCCCTTTCAATATGACTTCTGATTTCTTCTTCTTGAAGGCAGACACACTCATACATAAACTCAAAGAGACTGCAGTAATAATTCTTTTTGAGTGTGATATGAGATGTAGAAGGAGGGGCAGTATTCTATCATCTCAAGATTAAGTCTCAGTCCTTAGTGGACCTATATGTCAAGATTGTGAACTTGAAGCATAATTCTTAGTTGTCCTTCCTCCTTTAGGTGGGTAGGATGGTATGGAGAGGACCGATTTGGATATTTCCTTTCCTCCATGAAGAAGGCTATAGCCAACTGGTGTTGGGTTTCTCTGTCTTCATAAACCTTTAAATATAACCTCCAACTCCCTATACCAAAATGAAAAGTACAACTAGAATTATTGCCTTCATGTTTTTATATATAATTTCAATTTTTTCTTTAAAGACTGCATAACATAGAGAAATATTGTAAGTTATTATACACAATGTAAAATATAATCTCTTTTTGCTCTCTTTTCATAGAATTGCCTATTTGGGCTTGAGTTCCACCTTGAAATTTCTAGCACTTGTTGTATATATTGCATTACTTTATGCCATGAAGAAAAAATACGAAGGAAAAGATACTAAGGCATTGGAACATGGAGGAAAAGTCATGGATGAGACAAGCAGAAAATCCTTAAATAGCAATGGACATTTTGTACCTTCTTCAGTAGTCAGTGACACACATATTTAAGGGAAGGAAAAGATACAACAATGCAGTATTGAAGCAATGAGGTGTTATTTTTTCAGTTCCTGGTCACCTCAGTAAGACTTACTATACTCTACCTCTCTAAATATGGAATAATGAGTAAGCCTATGAATATCTAAACAAACTATAAACATAAAGAATGCAGTAATCATTGTTAGGATATAGCTAAGTACTTGTAGTTAATATTGGAAAATATGATTCATACAAATTTAAAGTGGGAGGCCTACTTAGTATATAATAGAAGAAAAAGTATTTGTTAGGGTAATTGTAACTCAATGAAGCTAGTAACTAGAAAATGGATAGAAGTGAAAAGGAAAAGAGAAATTAATAGGCTAAATAATGAAAAAAGACTGGTGTCTCAAAAAGAAAAGGAAAGAAACAGTGGATGTTGTGACCTAAGCCTGAAGTTTAGCCTTATGGAGGATTTATGGAACCTTGACATGTATTATTTATGTTGTCATATATTTTACAGACTTTATTAATTTAAAATTTGAAATTGTGTTTAACTAATAATTCAGTTGCATCTTCTTTCTATCTTCCATTAAAACACTGCTGAATAAATTGAGATATTAAAATATTTTCAAGCTATGATTGTCAGAAAAAATGCCACAGAAGGTAAGGTTCTATCAGACTCACAGAAATGGATTAAGAAAAACTGACTTTGACTGGAGAATGCAAAGACCATTTAATAAAAATGATTTTATTTTACCCTTCTGTTCTCTGGAAGAAGTAAAGTTTATGTCAGATAAAATAACAGCATTCATCATTCCACGATTTCCTGTTTGTCCATTTATTTGTGTTGGTGCAGAAAAAGATATCTTCTCTATTAGCTGTTGTCTTCTCTATCAGGACAAGGAAAACGAATAAGAACAAATACTTGAATATTGTATTTTCTATTGGCATTGACTGTATTATAATAATGTTAGAATTGTGGATTTAAAATTCTCATTGGTAAAAGGGTATTTTGTTTGTTTGTACTGGAATCCTTGTGAAATTGAAAAAAAATACAGTCATAGATCCAGAGACTCTGGTTCAAAACATTGGTAATGTAGTCTGGACATAGCTTTAAAAACTTCCATATGTGAGGCCGGGGATTTAGCTCAGTGGTTCTGCCATCTGCCTTGCAAGCACAAGGTCCCGAGTTCAATTCCTGATACCAAAAAAACCAAAAAACAAAAAACCCTTCCATATGTGATTATAGGAGCCTTTGATAGAAGACAAAACACAAGTCAGGGGAAGATTTTGCTAAATCTGAGTATAGCAAAGTCTAGAAATGCTTGCTCAAAACTGGGAATTGGCTTGGAAGTTATATGTATTAACCTGTGTTCAAGCTACAGACCTGTGAAAAGGGTTATTAATCAAGCAGAAACTTGGGGAAAAAATCACCCACATGCTAGGTTAGTGGGTGCCACATAACAAATTTTATGGTAAGTTGGTGAGTGCACTATTATAAGACTCACTGAAAACTAAATAGAAAAATTATGGAGCTATTTTTAAAACAAATGCAAAACAATAGAGGCAATGTCTTCAATATTTACTTAATAATTATTGAGTATCAACTACATATAAGACAATATAGAATATGGGAATCAAAATTTTAAATGACACTTTTATTAGCATACACTTGAAAAGGAGAGATGGCTATTTAAAAATTAAATAATGAAATTTTGTAAATTATAAGGACACATTTACATGTATAAATGTGTTATTTGCAGTAAAGGAAAGATGAATATTAAAAATACACTTTGAGGTCTGGGGATTTAGCTCAGTGGTGCCACCACCTGCCTTGCAAGCACAAGGTCCTGAGTTCAATCCCCAGTATCAAAAAAAAATTGACTTTGATTTGATCTACTTCAGAATTCAAGAATCCAGAATAAATGATAATCTTTAATCAAATGCCATTTAAAAAAATAGAAATATAACTCCTAGGAGCAAAATGCCATTATTTCAATAGAGAAATAAATAAGAGAAAGTTTTTGAGGAAATAAAATAAGTTAAAACTATATAATATCCATTGGATACAGTTAAAGAAGACAGTGACCAAAAAAAAATCACAATATTGATGAAGAAGTTACATTTGAAATTCTTTGGAAATATAGAAGAAAAGGACAAGGAGGTAAATTGAGAAAGAAGGATTTAGAAAGGAAACTAAAAATTCTGATATTTTAAGATAGAAATCAAAAGTGGAAAAGAAGTATTAATCAGACATAATAGAAGAACAGCTTCATCCTATGAAGAAAGATGAACATATGGACTGAGATATCTTCATTTGTACCATGTCTTCAAACCTCCATTCTTTTGACCAAGCTCTTTTTTTCCCCCTGAAATGCTCTTTCTTTTCCCCACCTAACTCCAGCTCAGTGCAGATCAGTTTTCCTTGAACATTTTTAGTATGTTTGCTTATATGTTTATAGTGGCGCAGTTTGTAACAGCTAAAACTTGGAAACAGTCCAATTGCCCATCAACTGGAGACTGGATAAAGATGTGGGGTTTTTTTTAATATAAAATAGAGTACTACTCAGCCATAAAGAATGAGAAACTAGAGACATTTATAGCTAAATGGATCCACATTGAGGCGATACTCTTAAGTGAAATAAATAGAACACACATGTATAAATACTGAATAGTTTCTCTGGCGTGAGAAACTGAAAGTGTAAATAAGGATCAAAATGTATAATAGATAATGTGAAACAGGAAGAAAAAGTCTAAAGGGGAAAGGGAAATGAGAAGGGTAGAGGAAAGGAAAGAACAGAAAGGAAAAAATATGAGAAAAGGAAAAAATGGAAACAAAGTCTTTGTAAGTGGGAAAGGGTGAAGGGGTTGAAGAGAGGGTAGGGAAATGGGGAAAAATATATCTGTATGCTTGTTAAATGTTTCTTATTATATCTTTAGCAATGTAGACCTTCTCAAATGATAATATGGCGGAGTGGCAATTTTATATTTATTTATTTATGATTATATGATAACTATCAGTCTCTCCCAGTGGCCATAACCTCCAGGAAAGCAGAATTCATTCTTTACACATTATATTAGTCTGGTTCTCCAGAAAGAATCAATAGAAAAAAAAAATATATATATATATAGCAGGAAAGAGAGAGAGAGAATTGATTCAGGGAATTTGCTTAAGCAACTATGGAGGTTAGGAGGTCATGGGCCACCAGCAAGCTGGAGACCCAAGAAGCCCAGTGTCATGGCGAAGTCCAAGCTTGGGGAAGCAGATGGTGTACCTCTCAGTTGAAGGCCTAAGGCAAAGGTAGCAAACCTATGGGACACATCTTACTTGTTTTTCTTTTAAGGCAAAAGATGTTAATGTATGAGTTGTTTTTTCTAAACTAAAATCTCATACATGATAAATAAGCAAGTTCTGGGTTGCAGTTTGGGCACTCATCTCTATAAGGTTTGCTACCACTGGCCCAAGGTCTAACAACTCTGGATGTCCTCTGCTGCAAGTCCCAGAGTCCAAAAGCCAGAGAACCTGGAATTCTGATCCCCAAGGGTTGAAGAAAGGTAGCCCAGCTCCAGGAGAAAAGAAAGAGCAAATTTGCCTTTCCTTTGCCTTTTTGTTCTATCCAGGACCCTGGACAATTGGATGGTACTTGCCCACATTAAGATTATCTTCCTCACTCAGTTTATGAATTCACATGCCAGTCCTATCTGCAAACATCGTCACAGACACATCCAGAAATCATGCTTTACCAGTTCTTTAGCTAACCCTAAATGTAATCAAGTTGATACCTAAAATTAACCATTACACCTATTTAATTTCCTGCATTTGACTGGTGACCAATACCCAGGAAGTGCTGTATCAATTATTTTTGAAATAATGAATAATTGCCTAAATAAACAAAGTCCCAAATGGCAGTCACATAAAACATGAATTTTTACAGATAAGAATTTAGAGCAACATACAAAAAGTAAAATACTACATTAAAGTCATGGGATAGGAGTGATTGTTTTAATTATTTTGAAAAATAACAATTTTACAAGGAAAAATGAGATTTAAGTTGTAGAAAAAGAAAAGTATCTTTTGATTGCTACCTAAGTTTTAAGACGAACATTTTCAAAATAGAATCTTTGCTCCAGGAAGCTCATGAGCAAACTACAGAAACAGCCAGGGGACATGTGATAATAAACAGTACAATGAATGATATGATAAAAGTATATGATAATTTCTATGAAAATCATATGGTCATTCATAGTGACTGTGATATTCATTCTGTTTCAATTTCAGTGTATATGTTTCCTGAGATTTTCCCCAAATAAAACTATTGAGAATGAATAAAAAATTGGGTGGTGATCAGTGTTGTTTTCCTCTTGTGTGTCTTCCACTGCTTCTGAATAGACTATGCTCACCACTTGGAAACCAAACAGGAACTGCTAATATGATGATTACATGGATGAGACCACAGAGCCCTCCTGAGCAACAGTCCCCAAATTCCCCAAATGACCAAAATCCAACCAGTGTCCTCTATAAAACTGGATGTTGTGCCAAGTACCCTTGAGTCAAGATTAATCACAGAAGTTTAATCCTGTGAATTAAAACTTGGATTTCATCAAAATTGGAAAAGATAATTTTATCAATCATTTCAGCCACTGGCTTGCAATTTCAATCATTTTGTTGTTGGTAGCTTCTGTTTCTCTCTCTCTCTCTCTCTGTTTCTCTTTCTTTCCTCCCCTCCTCTCACCTCCCTTTCTTCCTTCCCCCTATTTTTCTTTCTTTTCTTTCTTCTTGGTGCTGAGAATGAAACCCAGGGCCTTGGGCATATTAAGGATGTTCTCTAACACCTAAGTAGTAGCTAGTCCTCCAGCCCCAGCGATTTTTTTTCTTTTTCTTTTTTCTTTTCTTTTCTTTTCTTTTTTTTTTTTTTGGTACTGGGGATCAAACTCAGGACCTTGTGCTTGCAAGGCAGGTGGTGGCACCACTGAGCTAAATCCCCAGCTCTCAATGATTTTTAAGAGGAGGATTTTCACAGAGTCAAAATGAAGAACATGAGGGCATTCATAGAATAAAAGTTCACAGAAATATGAGACTGGCCAAAATAAAATTGTCTATTGCAGTTTGTTTAGGACTGATCCTACCAATAAAGATTGTATGTTTAAATTCTCTACAACAGTGTTTCTTGTCACATGCATTTAAAAAGAAGTTTTCATTTTTCTGATAATTCTAATATCCATGTTGTAAGAGGTTTGGTTCTGATGATATTTTAATTCAAATTTTTTTCTTGCCTTTTTATATCTTAGAATTTTTTGTTGAAATCTATAAGCATAACATAGGATACTACAGTAATTTGATTTTATATGTGGTGATGCACACATCTTTCTGCTAGGTGTACAGTGTGTGGGTGGTGTATGTCGGGTGTAGGGCTGAGTTTGAAGATTGTATTACAATTACTCTAGGTCCATCAAGGGCTTCAGATCCTCTAGGAAAACCTAAGTCATAGAAGTTTGCTGCAGAACAAATATTGGAGGACAAAGAATGACAAAAAACTCTCTGAACAACGCTGCCAGTATTAATAACACGCAATGCCACAGGTATAAAAGTGTTGCCTTTTTCTAAAGGTATTCTAAAAGGTAGCTGTGCAGATGTGGATCAACATTTGTTTTAATTAAAATATTAATACTTAAAAGTCAAATAAAAATATAGTGTTTACATTCTTTAGGTCCTGGGAGAGGTAGGGGGAACTGTGATATTACAAAATAGCAAAAACAGTAATTTCTTTAATATTATTTTTCTGGTAATTATTTTTAACAGTAGTTAATTATTGTATG